GTTTCATGGCGTCAATTCAACGTCAAGCGCTTTTCACTAATTAGCGAGAAATAAAGAATTGAAATGTTTTAATCGTAACTCACAAATACCTCGAAAAGTCTCTTTAACTGCTCTTAAATGTGTCATCCAATGCCTTGATACTCTTCAAAGAAGAATAAACAGGAGAGTAAAAAAAATGTATGCATACATTTCATCGATTATGACTAAATATTAAAAGTTTGAATTAGTAACATGACGAATATTTTTCAGAGATATAGCTAGTGTTTCCATAACTTTTCTTTCAGACCATCTACAAACCTCGAGCGAAAGTTTCTTTGACCTTCCTGTTTCGTCCTATAACAATGATAAGCATTCTCTGACTATAAACGCCCCTTTTATGGTCACCTTTGGAAGTCTTCAGTACAAGTATAACTCATGAGGGATCCCCTCCATGGACAGCAAAGTGCTCGTGTGATTGTCTGCTTCACTGCTTCTCTTACTACGCTAATCTACCAGCAGTAAAGAAACGGGTTTAACCTCGAGTTAAAGTAAACTAAGACACCTGCTACTTCCGCTATTACAACAAAGTGTGATGAATATGTTTTAAGCTTTACGCCCTTTTTAAAACCACACCTTCTTAAAAATAGTGCTGCATATCCTGAAGCTTACTTTTCTGGGCCTTAAGACAATCACAAACTCATGGTTTTAGAGAGGGTTTTCCACTGCATTATGAAGGTATTAGAGTCTCGTCTGATGCTACCAATTTACTTTCAGCCCGGGATAACCCAGAGGTAGTTGATGCCAAACTTAACAAGGACTCCGTGGCTGGTCGTTTGGCTGGCCCTTTTCATGAGTTCCCCTTTTATCCATTTAGGGTTTCTCCCTTAGGTGTCGTGCCTAAGAAGACTCCGGGGAAATTTAGGTTGATACATCACTTATCTTAGGAACCCCAGGGGTTCCTCTGTTAATGATGGCATCTCCCCAGAACATTGTAGTGTGTCATATGCAACAATTTCTGATGCCATCCAGCATATTAAGGCTGCAGGACCAGGGTGTTTCCTTGCCAAAACAGACATAAAAAATGCTTTTAGGATTATTCCCGAATCGTCCCCAGGATCATGGTCTGTTTGGTATCTGTTGGAAGGGTTTATATTACTACGACCGTTGCATGCCAATGGGATGTTCTAGTAGCTGCACCTGTGAGAGCCTCAGTTCTGCTGTGGAATGGATTGCCTAGGGGAAATTGAAAATTGACCACATAATTCATTTGCTTCCAGGCACGTTGATAAGTTGGAAGCGACGAAGGTTGAAGGCTGGATCTCAAAAGCGAAGATATTACGGGTGCCAGTTCTGAGGAGGCAGATGCAGAGGCATGTCTGTTGGACTGTGTTTCATATGGGATGGTGCTAAACATTGGAAAGTCTCGACCTGTAACCGGGAGAGAGAGTCCGCAAGAGTGTTATACACTCCCCGGACATGTTTTGCTCTAAAAAGGATGTCATCAGTTACGTAAACAAACCAAGACCAGTGCTCGCATAAAAAACATTAAGGCCTTATCTTTGCACGACTGCTTATTTATAGCATGGACAAGGGCATAATTGTCAGTAGAAAAAAGAATACAGCGGTTTTGCATCTTATGCCCCCAAAGGTGTAAGCTTTGCACAATTGGGTAGAATTCCGAAAAAGCAATATTTTTGTGCAACCAATGTGCAAGCCATTTCCCATAGTACCATTTGCTGCCGAAAACTGCACCAAAGCCTAATGCTCCTGCAGCATCTGTATAAAGCTGAATTTTGTCACTGACTAGACCAAGTGTCAAGAAAGAAAGTTCGGCCATTAAAATTGGTCAAAAAGGATTGCTAAAGCTGTAAATCTAATTTAACCTCCTTAGTCAGTAGCCGTATAAAGGGGTATGGGAACCGGATACCAAGAGTGAAATCAATCAGGCGGCATAAATAGACCGTACCTGGTACGGCCTTTTTATGCCGCCTTTTACGGCCTTTTCAAGTTCAATTTGAAATGTTTCCTCTTTTGCTCATATTTCCTCTTTTCTTCCCCGCTTGCGTTAATCAACTTAAAGCAATCGATTAATGAGCTTCAAAGGAAAAACAATGATACTCACCGTTTTCAAAAAAGATGGTCATTGAACCTTTTTTCTAGGAAAGTTTCACTTCTCGAAAGCGAGAGACATTATCTAAGCTAGAAAATATTTTCTCACATTTCGTGCATTAATAAACAGTTGTTTCGTCTTTCCTAAAGCTTATTTGTCGCTACACGTAGCAAGACGATTTGTCTTGACAGCACCTGCCATGCCAAGGTCACGTAAACCTCGCTTTCTTAAAAAAACATTTACACAGAAACTTTCTCAGTAACGTTCACTCAAGTATTAACTAATACTAATTCTTTCACAAGAGTTTCCAACTTCCTCTTCCCAGGTGTTGCATTTAATACCTCCGTTTATCAATTTCTTTGAATGTAATGGGTCATTCTTTATCATATTGGATATATCAACAAAGCTGAAATGGTAAATTGGCCACCGTAACGATTACAAAAGCTGACGTTTCGAGCGAATATCTATCCATTTCTTGATATTATAGAAAGGTAGTAAATTCTCCTCAGTTATTTTAAGACCAGGAGTATTGGTCCGGCCAGGGCTCGAACCCTGGACCTCCCGCACAATAATATCCGGCGCTCTAACCAATTGAGCTATATTCTACGCGCCTTTGGCGGAGATGCACATGAAGTGATCAGCAATCTTAGTGGATCGTTTGGGTCCCGATATTTTCTCAACGTTTTGAATGAAAGGACACGTTTTGCATCGTGCGCGGGCGCATTTGAAAGTTCCGGGTTGGTTATTAGTTTGAAATGAACTTCGCATCCATTTCATGTCAAGAATTCCATTCTCT